ATAAAATCTAATCCCCAAACGTCAAAGATCTCAACTTTTAACATGAAATTCAGAGGCATTTCATTTCTTCTAGATATATTGCCTACTCGTTGACATCGATCACAAGTTTTTATGTATCTATAAACATCTTTAAAGATAGTAGGCCAATAAAATCCAGCTTGTAAAATTTTAGAAGTAGTTTTATCAATCCCAAAATGTCCTCCAAATTCAGAATCATGGCATTTCTGAATGATTAGCTCAGTTTCTTTATAAGGTACACATCTCCTCATTAAGATCCTTACATTATTTATATAAATAAGGCTCATCCCAAAATTATGCTTTCGCATCATGAATGAATTTTTTTTGTTATTGCAGTGTCAACATAGGTGGCAAAATATCACTTACAATATAGTTAACAATATCAGCATACCATGGTACTTTCCACTCATTAATATTATAAAGTTATTCATCAGGGAAACTGTCTGTAATTTCATTGTTGGTGTCAGATAATTCAAGGTTTTCTAATCTCAATAGATGATCAACAATTTGATTATCAATTCCCTTTCTATCAAAAACCACAAGAACAAATACTTGCATCAAAAGTATCCATCAATTAACCTTGGTTTGATATCCTTCTTTTGCATCAAATATTTAATAGCAGAGTGTTCAGTGTGCACAACGCATTTAGCTCCGATTAAATAAGATCTAAATTTATCTAAATCGTACAGAATGACCAGTAACTCTTTTTCAGTAACAGTATAGTTAATTTGTGCATCATTAAGAGTACACAGTAAAACAATTAACTAAATATGAAAATAAATTGCAATTCAAGTAAAAATTTTCTAATAATCCTAATTTGCATGTTTCTCTAATTATGATTCTTGTTTACTCCCCGACAACGACGCCAATAACTTGACAGCGACTTTATATATGGTTAAAAATATAAGTATTTAATACTGCTGCTAAAAGAACTAATTCCCCAGCAACTGCACCAAAAACTTAATAACAATTATAGATTTGATAAAGATGTATGTATAAAATATTCAATAATTATAAAGTCACACTTATCAACGCAAGTATACGTATCGCTGAAGTAATATAGGGCTCTAATGGGGTCCTAGATATCGATCCCACAGTGAGTAATATCAGAACTACGAACTAAGATTTTAGAAAAACAATACTTAATCGCAACAATAGAGTTCAAATTGTTTATCGGTCACTAATAGACAATTGAAATAAATATGTAATTTTAATAACTATTAAATATTAATGTGATATTCAATATATAAGAAAGCATCATTCTCCTTGACAAGAAATTATAATGAATGGATAAAGTGAATAAGTTCAATTTGTATTGTGTCAAATAGGAGCATACCTATTTTTTACCCTTTGGTCTAGGCATAAAGAACATTGACTAATCTTACGCTTGTTTACTAAATATGCGGCTAGGCTGAGAGGATAACAGCTCTCACTTTTGGGATCCCCTCGCTTGAGGGCTGACATCTACACTTCAACACTAAAACGATAGGACTGACATGGGGATTTTAGTCTGATTTTACGCCCGATAATTTTATTTCCCTATTTATTTGCACCCAACTTCCAAGGCCTTTGACCTACCTGAATCTTGGATGTAATCTTCACTTTAGTTGTAAAACTCAACATATTTTAACAAATCAATTGG